TAACTCGTGTCTTATATTAAACAGAAAGGTATCTTTGGAAAATTACGTAGCAAAATGTTTAGTCTTTTTATTGTGTTTACTGTAAATTATCACTGTCTAGCATCCATTTGAAACAAATTATGCAAATAAAAAAAAAAGTAAAAAGACCGCTAAGCAAATATTTTCCTTCTTCATAGCCACAGATGAAAGACAGTGTCTGTGTGTTTCCTCTTTAATACATCTTTTTCAGTATTGTCTGATTAAGCCAAATCTTCTTACTTTTTAATTCTTATAAACAATTTCCTAATAATACATTAATTAGGAACACACATGACTGTTGAAGCAGTCTGGATTACAGTTTCAACCACAGAATCTTGATGTTCCATGAATGGAAGGCAAAAGCTCAGTCACAACAGATCTGCAGTGAAGGAAAATGGCTTAAGGAAACACAGAAAGGAGAGGTAGCAAATTTAATACATGTGGCACTGAATAATAAAGTATCATCCTAAGAATCCTCAGAGGAAGAATATTCCCAGGATTAAAAATTAAGTATTGAATTTGACAGGAAGAGGAAAAACAAGTCACATAGATTTTACCCTATGTCAGCACTGATGGCTGTCTTCAGCTTAACTAATTTTCTGCAGGAAATAGTTCCACAAATTACACATATCAAGTAGACAAGCTTTTAAATCTCTTTCAAAACATTATAGGTTAATCCTTTACTTATGCATGTAAATGAACAGACACACATCTGCAGCTGCTAAAAGCCTCCCTTCCCCCTAAACAAACAAACTATAGTTGATAATTTAAATTATTAGAAGGCTAATGAGAGTTGGAAATTAGTGTAACCATCCTAAAATGTAGATGTTGCTAAAATGGTATTTATTATTCTACTATCAGTTAGTTCCACAGACTTTTACCCATGTTTTTTATCCTTATCACCTTATCTACAGTAATTGCACTTTGGATTTGTGACACATTTCTGTGTTTTATTATATATAATAAAAGTCAGGCTGTAATCATCAGATATTAGAAAGAACAGCTGCAACCACTACTCATATTAACAACTAGAGCCACTCCATGCACAGGGAGAGAACAAATCTGATACATGCTTCTGATGGAAGAAAGATTCTTTCTTTTCCCTTTCCTATTTTTACCTTGCATTGCAATGCTCCTACCAACTCACATTGTCAGACTTCCCTTCAAGGTCAAGTGCAATATCTATGCTCTTGCTGGATGAAAGCTAAATCTATGTCTTCCTGTCACAGAGGAGTTAATCATAAATCTGTTATCACTTCATGTTCATATTGACAGAAAGCAACAAATTTGAGCAACAAGCAACAGCTGAGCAAAAGTCAGTGTTTGGTCATGAAGAGTTATGGCAGCTCCCTGGCAATGGGAGCTGTCTGCACAGGAGCCTAATGGCTTTATGATTAGAACAGGATTGAAGGGCTAGCATCATGAAAATAATGACCTGTCATATCAGCTACCATACCAACAGCAGAAAAACTACGTTTTAATTTCATGAGAAAGGGCAGGCGTATGCAATCCAAATTCACAATGCCTCTGCTAGAAATTCACTACTACTTTTATCATGTAAACAGTGCTGCACAAAACACCCAAGAATTATATCCTTCTCCTTTTTCTTTGGTTGAAGGGGGATTTTTTTGCTTGTAACATTTTCTTTTGCAAGTCACAACTGAAATCAAACACAGTCTATGAAACTGAAATTACTGTAATATGGCAGAGATTTATATATCTCTACTGTCAACCAAATAACATACATCTCTTCTAGACATATTTAATTTCCAAAAAAGTAATGTTTGTGTTCACTTTGGAAAGGACACAGTGGGATTCTTAACATTTTGTCCATAGGAAGGATGAAGTGCAGATGAATAGAACTATTCTGAAAGAAACCAGAAAACATTGACTATCTCTAAAGGAATGAAAACATTATGTGCATGAATATCAAGTACATCACCATTGTAAAACCAAAATAAAAATATTCTGGTTAAATACAGGCAAAATACCAGACTTTTATTCTAAAAAACATTGTCATTTAAACTAATGCAGCAATCATTCTTAAGAGTGTTGAGAATTAGCAGAATGTGCACAGTAATACAGGTGAGGCTGAGTCAGAAGGCCTGGCCTTAACATAGAATTCTTTTAATGCAAATTTGCTGTATTAGTAAATAATATAAGTTGAATAGCAAGTAAAAACCAAGTGAAAAAAAAAAAAAAAAAGCCATGCAGGATCACTTTGATTTGCATTTGGGAAAATATTTGAAGTAGAGCCTAGACTGGTACCTGCAAAATATCTGTAAAATGTGATATTTGCTCTAGATGAAAAGACTTCACTGAATATCTTGAAATGTCAGAACTGACTTGGAAGAAATCCAAGGTCAGATACAGGAAAAAACTTGCCATAGCTTCAGGATACATCTATGACATTTTTTAGTTACCACTACTAATGTACTCCTGTTATAGAACTACGTTAAACAAAAATACTTGTACAACTAGGTATGTTTGTTTCATTTTTCTCCAAAGTATGAGCAATATTTGAGATGTAAAAACTGCTAATTTCTTAAGGTGATATACTCCAGAATATTCTCTCCTTGGCTCTATGAGCTGACACCAGGGCACCACAGTCTGCAGAGATGATGGAGAAAGTTCTGGCATGAGCAGCTTAAACAGGTAGAGAGACTGAAGACTGTGACAATGACCACAGGTAACTCATGAGGTTATCTCATACAGAACGAAAGAAAATGATATCCTGATACACACTGTACACTGCATAGATAGGCTAATGTTTCCTGGCTGCAGTTTTTCCTTAGTTTCAGTCATATGTCAGAGCTAAAGGTATGGCATTACAATAGATTAAACTTCATGTGATGTTTCATTCTGTCCTTTGTCATATAAACTTGCTTTTGGAGAAATCATTGAGCACTCTACGTCAACAATACTGATTTGTGTGTTCCAAGATGGCAGAAGCACAGTATAGTAATAAATTCTGTGGGATGTAGTCAATTAAAAAACCCTTAGTTTTTCAACTGAAAGTATTGGAAGAAGTATAAATAATTTTATTAGGAACTCTAAGGGTAAGAAATGCAAGACACAACTCATAAAGAGATATTACTCAGGTAGCTGGTAACTTGCTTGACCTGTGTAGAATTATTTTACATATTTAATCTGTGTCTTAGTTATTTCCTCAACTTGTTAGTTATTTATACTCACTTTACATCAAACAAGGTGTAATTTCTCTTCCTTTATTGAACTTGCTACTGAAATTAAAGTTCAGAGGAATCTTAGATTTAAAATCAAAAATATAAATCTTTTCCAGAGATAAATATAACTCTCTTTGTAATCTTCCAAGCCAAAAAGCCCAGTATTTTTTCAGTAGGACACATATCAGAAATTGCAGTCATACAACTTCCTGGTATCCCTGCACAAATATTGGCATGATAAGAGTCCAAATGAGTGAAGATTATGAGTGACTTGTTACTTCTTCTTAATTTGTCAGTCCTTTTGTATTTAGCACATTGTTTACTTAAAATAAATCTACACACAATTAAAATACTATTCTAGTTAAAATATTATAAAATATTTTATCTTATCTTCTATTTTTGCAAGTGGACAAATGAGTCATGCTACCTGGATTTTCTTTCACTTGCCACTTTGCCATATGCAAAGAACAGAAAAAGCAAGCTAAGTTTTTACTTGAAGAAAAGACTTATTGTGCAGAGGGAGTGCACTCATTCAAGGAAACCTATGTTTATAGTCATTACTATAGTCCTGATTTGGCCTTGGTAATCGCTTCCTTAGAATTATGAGAAAAAGATATTTATCTATCTATTATAAACACTTCCTCCCAAATTAAGGATAAGTGCAAAAAAAGCCTTTAAAAAATCAATTTGTTATCAAATTGAATTAATACAAGATGTAAAACCAATGGAATAACAGTCAATTAGAAAACCTGAAAACAAGAATCAAGTCAAATGTGTGTATGATGTACATGAAAATAAAAATCAAACCAGAAAACCAAAAAACCCCAAAAAATTACTTTGAAACAAAAATCTTGTGTGAAGTACTTCTCCAGAAGACATCAAAGGAGAAAATGCCATTTAAATGGCATACTTTATTTAATTTACTGAAGAGTCCAGACAATATACCACTATTCACACATCAGGACTTGTTATGATGTGTTGCTGCCATGACAAACAGGTATAGGATACAAGAGTTTCCTCCCACAGGAAATATAAATGTCAGTCCTACTGCCTCACAAAACATCCAAAACTTTACCAACCACATGGCTTGGTTCAGAACTACATCTGTGCTGATGCCTGTTATGTCCCAACTGTTTCTCTTCCAAATTACAAAGCCTTCACCTAAGAATCCTGGAAGGGAACAGAGATTCCACAAGCCCTACAGAAACCTCTGCCAGTGACTGAGCATGCAGATACTTACTGAAGTCAGGGAAAAGCCAGTACCACTGAGAAATGTCAATTAGCACAGTACTTTAAGTGTTGTTTTTTATAGAAAACTTGATAATTTAAGGCCATTAAAATATTGTAGGGTAGTGTGTGGAGGAGTCTTAAACAGTTGTGTAGTACTTTGTGTCATGACCTGAATTCTGCTTTAGGTAACTTACTCACCAGAATTTACTCTGTAAAATTAGACATTCATAATTCTAACATTCTGTCAGTAACATTTTCCCAGATGTCAAAACTTTTACTTGAGAGGGAGATTAATATGTCACATTTTTGAGTTGTTATACATCTATGGCCTAGATATATAATACTGATAATAACTGAATGCAGAAGGAAAAATGGGAGCACCCCAGAAGTTTCAAGCATAAAAATCTCCTCTAGCACTATAAAAGAAAATCATAAACCAATACTTTAAAAGATGCATGTTATAGATAATGTGCAAGTGTCAATTTTTGCAAAACTCAAGCAATACTTTTTCTTCATCTCTAATCACCTCCTTTCAGAATTTCCTAAGTGAAATGGAAAGTAACTTACTTGCAAATATCATCTTCTGGGTCCTCAAGCCCAAATCTTTCATCAAAAGTAAGTTGTATCCATACATTTTCATCTAGTGCTACTAATCTCCACACTAGCACAGTGTTGCGTGGGTATGTATGTGGAAACTTGGGGCTGTGAATACTCCCATTAGTAGTCACAGTAATTATCTTCTCATGGTGAGGGTCCTGCACACCTACAGGAAGGACAGAAAACAGAGGCATCAATACTCATTCCTTTTCCCAAAGTGTTAGTATAATATGCACAGATAAAGACACTTTTGTTTCATTTGCTTTTCTTCAGCTGGCAAGAATTTCTGCTTGAAAAGTCTATATAATAACAACAAGACAAGAGTTTTTCTATAACCTATATATTGTCAGATTGGTATTTCACTCAGTAAATGATAGGAATTCTCAGAGGTAGCTATTAATAAATGTTGTAACAAAATAAGGTAATAGTTTTATACAGGAGATTTTATATTGCTATCTTTTCACCTATTCATTGTTTTTTTTCATTTAGATATTTTACCTTATTTTTTGGAATTTTCTTTATAAACAGCACTCTGATGATCATTCATTTGAATTTATAAAATACATACTTCAGTCTACTATGAAAATACACACTGCAATTGTACACCTCAATATAGCCATATATAAAGGTTGACAGCTAAATGAATGTAGTGCAAGAAAAGAAGGCCACAGACGCTGCATTGCTATTTTAAAAGAATCAATCTATACTTAAATATAATTTAAAGTCTGACGAACTTTTGCCTTCTATTTTTCTGGGCTTGTGCCTTCTACTTTTGGTATGAAAATGGTAAATTTTCTTTTAAGCAGAATGGCTGCTTATATCAAGCTAATGGAGTGTGGTCTTGCCAAGATCCACACAGGCTTGCAAAGGACTGACTGCAGTAAGAGAGGAAAGCATGCAGTAATAAGAAAAAAAGGCATGAAACCAGAATTCCTAATTTAGATACTTCATTGGGTTTTTGTTAGCTGAGTCACAAACATTTTTCTATAATGTACAATCTGTCAGCTGAGAGCTGCTTGCTAAACACAGGAGCCAACAATAATAAAAATTACTTTCCCAGAGATTAGTGCACTGAAGTGCTATTTCCAAAGCATTCAAAGGACCACCATTTCAGATAAACATGTCAAAGTGTGGTATCTGATGACATTATACTTAGTGGTACTTTTTGTCCTTAAAAACACAAATAGAATTACAAACCATTATACATTTCACAACATATTAAAAAGTGCTTTCTTTTGCATCATCAGGGCACTGATAATAACAGCACTGTAAGTAAGGACTGTAAATAGTCCAGACATATCATGAATGAGAAGTCAATAAAAAGAGGGAAAGGAATGAAGACAGGTCTACTTATTTAGAGAACTGCATCTCCAGTACATTCAAGTTCCCCCATTTGTAATGGAAAAATATCTGTTTGCTTTACACAAAACAGTGTTACATGAACATATCAAATTTCCACACACACCACTTGCTCCATTTCAAATATTTGCTTTTGCACAGTGGAATTTCTTCTCTTACAAAAGAATTGTTTTGTATGACTACAAAGGCAAGTAGTTGCTGTCACTGGAGAAGTAAGCTTGTTATTTCTCTTCAGATAACCTGAAATATTCCTTTTTATCTGTTCTACAAAACTAGTACCAGTGTACCTCAAACTCTAGCCTTTTTCTACCGAGTTCATCCATAGTCTGAAAATTGCTTTTGAGTATACTGTGAAAAGTACAACTACCTGTGCATGGCTAAGATGAGACTATACTTTTTGATCTTTGTGGAATGACTTTGCAATTCCTGGCTTTATTTTAGGTACAAATCAGTCCAAGTTACACTAAAAAGGCAGTAACAAGCTCACTTGGATTTACAGCAGTCAGCTGCAGGACTCCAAACATATATACATAGCTGTTGTGGGCTGCCAGCCTTTCTATGAACAACCGTCTTTCCCACACTCATCCTGACACCCCTCCACTGTCAAAAAAGAAAAAAAAAATTACTGTACAAATAGCATTTAAAAACTCTGAAGCATCAGTTTAGGCAAGGACTGAGGTAGACTGGACACCATCTCAGCCAGGAGACAACTGGGAAAATGGAGATGGACAAGGACCAGAACAAAGCATTTGCATCTTTAGTAAAAAGCTTCAGCAGATGATGAGCAAACAGATTGTCTTCAGGAGAAAGTCCTAGAAATGAGTCAAACTAGACAGGAAAAATCCCTGAGCCGACCTAGAGATAGGACACAGTTACACTTATTAGGAAAGGACGGCACACACTTCTCATAGCCTGAAATTGAAGAATGAGTCACCGCAGTCGTCTTTGATGTGGTACAAGATGCTATCACCAGATTTATACATCCATCAGTGCAGAAAGTCTGCCCCTGGAAATTACAAGATTCCAGGCATTCTGAAAGCAAGGCAGTGCCTAACCCTTCCACCCATGTAGTAATGCAGATGAAAAACCACAGTATCACCAAACAGATCAGTAGATGCCACTGTAAACTGAAATTAAACCCACCAACTAGACAAGCTCATTCCTGCCTACTTCAAAGTAAGTCTCTTCCCCCATGGGCACAACACATTTCACAAAGATCAGCACTGACACTTTTTAAATATAGCAAATACCTCTTTCTTAGTACATTGTAATCTGTACATTTTAGTAAGGGTCATGGTTAAAACTCAGACAAATTACATGCAGTTCAGGAGGCAGAAGAGGAACTGCAGAAGAAGAGAGGAGCTCCACGTGTGCAATAATAATCTTGGCACTGATTCACTTAAAAGGCCACACAGTTCCGGAAAAAAATAGTTTTTAAATCCTTTTGTTAAAACTACACTTTTCCCACAACAGGACAACAGTACTGCTAATCACACAGTCTTAATATATATTATTTTGTTAATTTCATCTGATAGCCCTAAATCATGAAAAACAACTTTTAGACCTTCAGAAAGAACATAGCTCATGTGTGGATCTCACTACTTAACAAACTAAAGCGAAATCCAAACATAAAAAAAATTCTGAACTCCAAATATTTACCAATAAACATTAGAAAATTTCCAGATATACAGAAATGTTTCAGTTTGTGAATTTTCTGGTTTAAAACTGAGAAACAAAAGGTGCCAGTAACTATTTGGTCTTTACCATAGAACTTGAGGGACACAGGGCTTTTTAATTAATTGAAAGGATTTCCATACAGCATTCCCATAAAATTTTTACAACACACCCATCTGTACAGAAACGGAGACTTTGTAAAAGAAATTCTCTGAAATGTAACATAACATGCTATTTCTTCCTCTTTCACCTTTCAAGTAAGCCTGCTTTCAAAAGCAGTAACACAAGCCATTCAGGGGCACCTCCTTCTGTCCTGTCTCTGATTCAGTTGCCTCCAGGCACTCCTTAGCTATTATTTGAATACAACAGCCAAAAGAAATTTAACTCTTTTTGCTAAGCACAAAATAAAAACTGGAAAATTACGTGTTATTGGCAGAAAATTGAAGACAAATACCTCTGTTTTATATTGTTTGCACATAAAATGGCTATCAGAGCAAGGTCACCTAAAGCCATACAGCTGGTGCTATGCAGAGACCTCTGGAGACCCCCAGTCCCAGCTCCTGCTCACACCAGAGCAGCTCAGTCAATGGAGGGTTGGCATTTTGTAGAAAATGCTCAAAGGCCCTCACAGATGGAAACTCCACAGTGCCTTGAGATAATTTATTCTGCACTGCCTCTCCAGGTAAGATGTTTTTTCCTAAAATATTAAATTTGATCCTCTCAAGCTGTAACTTTTCAGCAAGATTCTTTCACTGGTTTTGTGAGGCTTTTTTTGGTTGCTTGTTTTGGAATTTTTTTGGGGAAAAGCAGAGTTGGTTTCTGGGTTTTGTTTTTTTTTTTTTTTTT